ATTGAGAGGAGATTAGAACACACCCTCGGGGGCAGTGCTACTTCTTGTGAGAGGAAACCCACACAGACATGCGGAGAACATGCAAACTCCACACAGTAAGGACCCTGGTCACCCGCCCGGGGAATCGAACCCAGGCCCTTCTTGCTGTGAGACGACACACTGAACTTTTCATGTATGTATATGTGTAAAACACGCCTTCTCCTCTAGTGGAGTTGGGACAGGGCTCAGGAGCCTGGGTGGGTATGGGAGAACGTGCTGGAGAGGGAATACTTCATCTAACCTGACAGTCCATCACCTCACACCAGCACCCAGGCTGCTGCAGAGGCTCAGAAACGCTGCAGTGACACACACCTCTGGCACACAGGTCATGCAACAGCACATTCCAGCCTGCTTATGCTGCAGCTGAGGTAGCTGTGATGCACCCTTTACAAATGTATCTTCACAAGATATCAGCACATCCTTCCTCTATTCACAGTACCCGTCAGTAGTTAGACACTGCATGAGTAAATATACGTTCTTCATCATCTCTGATCTAAAGGCTTTTTTCTTCAATACCAGAAATGTGTTTCAAAGCAAACATAAACAGTGGAGCTGATGAGGCTGATGTGAGAATTTAGTTGCAAAACCAAAATGTTGCATTTCTATTTCTTGAACTACCTCCACCAAGTAGTTTTCTATTAGAGTGCTAGGAAATTTTGGAGTTAGAAAATGTTGAACCACGATCATTAGATGAATGTATGAAATTAAAAAAAAAAAAAATACAATTAAAATTAGGTGAGCCTTATTAGCCCCACAACGCAATTTCACCTCTGCATTTTGTGTGAAACACCACATACACACTAGTGAACACACACACTAGGGGGCAGTGAACACACTTGCTTAGAGCGGTGGGCAGCCCTATCCACAGCAGTTGGGGGTTAAGGGCACCTCAGTCATGTACTGTCGGCTCAGGGGATCAAACCGGCGACCGTCCAGTCACAATGCCGGTTCCCTAACCTCCAGCCCACGACTGGCCATCATTTTATCATAACACTGTGACTCCGCAACTTCACAGATTTCAATTCATTAGTAGGAAGCTGTGAAAAAGTCTAGAAGTTTCCTTGATACCAGAGAGAAAGCGCGAAAGTAAAACTTTCCATGCACTCGAAACAATGCTTGTTCAAACGTTTGTATACAGATCAGTTTCCATCCACCGCCTCTTTTGTGACGTCATGTGATGTTTAGTCCACATTCCGCATTTGATTGGCTTTGGTAGTTGAGCCACAGCCAATAGGAGTGTGTTATTTTCTAGATTTGAAAGTTTGAAAGTGGGGGTTTCCATGCGCAGCGGCAGAAAGTGCCAGCACAGACTGGCTTCGGTTAGGTTGTGTCTGCCAGTCAGCATTTCTGATTTTGAGACAGTCGAGTTGGGAATGTCTTTGGTCAACTTTGAAAGAGAGAAAAGCAAGAAACACAATCCCAAAACAAAAACAGGAAACAAATAAGCCAAAGGAGACTAAGAGGATATTTTCTACAAGCAAGGATCCAGAATTGCTGTTCCAGCTGGAATGACGCACAGTGTGACAGCTCTTCAAATGTTATTCAGAAGACGTCAGTGATTTTGGCATCACAATGCAGATGAAACAGACTGTGTAAAAATACAAACAACTGACCCCTTTTTGTGTGGGCTTTGCAAAGTGCTCTTTTGTAACTTTCATTTATAAGCAATGTTCCAAAAAAACACAGAGGAACCTAGAAATGCCTAGAAAAACTGGCATAACTTGAAAAAGAAAAGATGTATAAACTTCAAATTACTTGTATTTTAGCCTTCTGTGTTTAAAATGATCATATCAGTATCATAGTTTACATTTTTTTCAATAAAAACTGCAAAAATATTAAGCTTGTTTTTGTGCTACTGTGGTTTTACGGGCTAAGATATGAATATAGCATGTAGAAAGATTACTGAATGGCATTTTACTAACTGAATCTGGGGATATAGAACACTTTATGGCGGGGTATTAGTGAGTAACTTGCACACTAAAAAAAAAGAATATATACACATTTTGGAGCAACACATGCTGCCTTCTAGATGACGTCTTTTTCAGGGACATGCAGGATTATTTGAACATGACAACATGAAGAAACATCCTGCATGTGTTACAGCAGAAGGCTGTGTAATCAGAGAATGCTGGTGCTAGACTGACCTGTCTGCAGTCCAGACCTGTCTCCCATTGAAAACATGTGGCATATTATAAAGTGCAAAACAGGACGACGAAAGCACTGCAGCTGAAGACTTGTGTAAGGAATAAAGGCAAAAAATTCCACTTTCAAACCTGGATCAGTTTGTGTCTTCAGTCTCCAAACAATTATGGGAGATGATGTAACACAGTGGTAAAAAAGCTCCTGTTCCAATCATTTTAACAAAACATCATATATCATTTTGACAGGTCAAACAGAGTTTAATAATCACTGTTTATTAGCTTTTCACATACTGGCCCAACTTTCTGCACCTTACGCTAAAATAAAATAATGCAATGAATTTACTTGGTACAAACTTATCTATTTCCACATAAATAAAATATATTACATGAACAGTTACTGCCAAAAGTAAACTGACAGACAAAACTATAACTAAATAAAGTAAAACTCAGTGCATCACTTTGTTTTTCAATGTAACGTCTCTGCATGGAGGAGGGAACTTCTGGTGGATTTACCGCCATTCTAACCTCTCCGGCCAAGAGGTTTTAATCTGGGAGTAATAAAATTGATATTAACAAGAAATATGGGAGATTAACGGAGGCATTTATCAGCCCCGTTCCAACGGGAGAGGAGAAAAAGACTTAGAGCGAGCGAGCGAGTGAGAGGGAGAATTAAGAAAACACAATAAAGACTTTGCTTCTTTCAGCATGGCAGGGGCAGCGTTTGAAACATACGATCCAGCCGTTTGAAAGACTCGAATAACACGGCCCTTATGAAAGGCAAACACAGGCGGTTCAGCAGGCCAGATGGATCTCCAGAGACGAGGCTTGGAGCAGAGCTTGGCTGCTGTGTGTTTGCAATAACAGGATTCAAATAAAAGCGATGCTGAACAATAGATGGGAATTATATCATACACACTCCAGCCAAGAGAACTGGTTCTATACTATTTAGGAGTAGTTTGGTCAAATATTTATATGTTTCCAATGACTTTTTAAAATGTCTGCATAATTTCATTCTTTAAGACGTAAACAGTCATTCAGAGTGGTTTGATGTGAAATGCTTTGTTCTAGAGAAACTAACAGAGAATTGTTCACAGTGGTGCTGATGGGAACCAGTGAGAAGAGTTTAATGCCTCTAAAAGCTCCTACACAGAAAGGTATTACATAAAATGGTAATGAATACACCGAATGAAGCCTGAAACACTATTTAACAATAGCTTTAGAAACCGTTTTGGCCTAAAATATATTATTTAAAACTGATTCATGGTGGAGAGATACATGTAGGGTGTTGTGAGGCAAAATAATCCCCCAAATTTAACACCATATTAACACCAATGTCTTACCATCATCAACATTACGAATAAAAATTCAGAAAACGTGTAGGTTCACTGTTGGGTTCAATCTGAGAGCAATAAAATTGACCAATACAAATGGCTATATTTGTGTTGTAGACATTGTAGACCGCTGTAGATGCTTTGGACCCCTGGCCCACATCACCACCACTGTAAAGAAATCTGAGTCCGAACGTTTCTTAAGAATGAACCTTTTCACATTAGATCACTCTGACTGACCTTGTTTATGTCCCAATGACTAAACTACACATAAATTTTGAAAATTCAGTGGAATTCTCCTTTAACATCTCAACACAGATTGATTTAGGCATGCAGTTTGCACAACACTAACTGCTGGACTACGGCCCAATCCCATTTCTTCTTTTTATCCCCTACCCCTGTCACCTAACCCCTTGGAACTTAGTTACAAGGGGTGGTGGTTGAAATCTTCCCCTATAAAATGGGACCCTCAAATAAAAAAAAAGAGCATTACATCATTAACAGCTTCTAGCGTTGCTCTGTAGGCGACCCTGCCAGTCTGCAGTGATAGCAGAGGAGGGTAAAGTTCAGCAACCTCACTGCTGGGCTTTAGTTACATTTAGGGCATCATATGCCTTCAAAGAGGGGTTTCGCCAGCTTTTTGTTCGAATTTTCCTGTTCCACCTTAAATGGTGCAGCAGTTATATTCTGGCGTTTTACGCGTCAGAACTGGTGGATTATTTAAGGTGGAACGGGAAAGTTAGCTAGCTAGCTACCGAGACATTAACATGCTATTAGTGATTTTTTGTTTGTTACGAAGAAAACAACCAAAATACATTGAAACAACATTAAACTAAGATAATACAACGGTTATCGTAATTTTTAATGAAGAAAATTCTCACATTTGTGGGTTTCTTTGGTCGCTCGCTCAGCCATCTTGCCGGTTTTTGTTTTTCTGATAACACTCTGTTTGGAGTGAGACTCTGAAAAGCCTCCGTTTACAGGGCCATGTAGCCCTAACACTTCACCCTACCCCTCTATCTCAACAAAAATCAGGATACCCTACCCCTAGACGTGAATGCTCACAACAGAGGGGTTAAGGGCTGAGTGGTAGGGGCAGGGGGTGAAATGGGACAGGGCCTATATGACTCTATCGTTTATTATCTACAATAGCCTTGTAGCTCAAGTGCAAAAGTAACGAAGCACACTCAGCATGTCCTGGCTAGCTCACCACATAAAAGGGGACTGTGTAAATTAGATTTTTCATCAAACTTATGAATATTAAAATGTTTAAAATGTGATGGTTAAGCACAGAAAACCGAAGCAGTCAAATTCCGTCCACCATAGAAGGAAAAAATAATCTTAAAGAGCCCGTATCCTGCATTTCCTTGGATTTTATTGTGTCCATCCATCCGATAAATGACTGTACACAGCTCAGATGGACCAAACGAAGCGGTGGTGAAGGAGGTGAGGGAGGTGAAGGAGGTGAAGGAGGCTGGACAGGGTCACTCACCTTTGGGCCGCTGGATGCAGGTGTGTTGGTTATCGGACAGGAAGAAGCCCTCTTTACATCGACACTCGTAACTCCCCATCATGTTCACACACACCTGCTGACAGCCTCCGTTACCCTCCGCACACTCATCCACATCTGGAGAGAGAGAGAGAGAGAGAGAGAGAGAGAGAGAGAGAGAGAGAGAGAGAGAGAGAGAAAGAGAGAGAGAGAAACCTTGAGCATTGATTTGCAAAATTCATTGGGAAATTACTACAGTCGCAGTCAAAAGTTTGGACACACCCGACTGAATGTATGTTTTCCATAATCTTAAAGGTCCATATCCTGTATTTTCCTGTATTTATTTGTATTGTGAGGTCCAATTTATGATGTTGACGTTGTTTCTGAGTACAAAAAAAACTCTTTTTGTCCCTTATGCTACATTTACATATTGGCGGCAGAAAGACGTCAGCAAACCCAGGTGTTGATTATTATTATCTTTTTTTTTGGAAGCAGTGGATGCCAAACATCTCAGTGTTGAATTCCAGATGAACCCAGTATTGCACAACAAATAAATAGAAGAACATCCTTCTGCTCTGATTTGATTGGCTGCCCTGAATTGTGTCTTTTTCAAAAAGCAGTCCAGGCTGCAACACTCCTTATAACTTCAGCCTGAATGGGCGGAGCTAAACTGCTGTAGACTGACATCACAGAAACCCTTCATTCAAAACAGGCTGCTTTTCAGCTTAGTCTCTATATATGGACTGCATGGAGAGGAAAGTATGTTTTTTAACTTCAGTAATGTTTCTTTACTATTACAAACTGTTATTTCAAAAAATGAGGAAAATTTAGTTTTGCACAGCGTCATGCTTTTAATATTTGTCTCAAAAACTACAGTAATACTGAAAAATAAAAACAGCTGGGCAATCACGTTTTTGTTACCCCCTTAAAATCTCAGGCTTATTACTCAGTCACTACAGGGACTTCAATGCAAACTAGCTGAGCTATTCTTAGGTTATAGAAGTATTAGTATATAGAAATATTTCAAAATTTCTGAATGACATAATCAAGGTTTAAGAGTGGTTTGGTGTGAAATGCTCTGTTCTAGAGAAAAGTCAGAATTGTTACAGTGGTTTTGATAGGAACCAGAGTTTAATGCCTCTAAAAGCTCTCTTATGGGGAGTTATCACATGAAATGGTTATGAATACTCTGCCTGCTGTCTGAGACATTGTTTTGTGATAGTTCTGTAAGAAGCTTTTGGCCTAAAATGTCTTTTTTAAAAACATATATATGGTGGATGGGTACATGCAGGGTGATGTCAGGCAAAATAGTCCCCAAAGAAAACATATTTTTTCAGATTTTCCACTATTTTATCATGATTAACACTGCATATAAAAACTCACGCGTAGGTTCACTGGTGGTTTTGGACAGTAAATAAAATGGCTATATCTGTGTCATAGACATTGTGACCCCTGGCTCCCATCACCACCACTGGAAAGACGTTGGATACAGTAAGTTTCTCTACAATGAACCATTTCATATCAAACCACTCTCACTGGCTACATCTCACCCCCCTTAAACACACAGTAACAGATATAGCCTATTTAATTCTATGAGATAAAGAGAGGTTGGAAAGGGTCATGCACAAATGAATTATGACCATTTTTGGTATATAAAACCACACAAATGTCATAAGTGGACCTCAAGGGAAAAAAATAAAATACATAAAAAATAAAATATGAGCTCTTTAATATGTTGGAGGGTAATCTAACGACTTAGCTGCATTAAGTGGGCTACTTGGCGATTATCTCTGCTTATAAGCTCCCGCCAAAATGTGAACGTTAGCTACGGCGGCACTTCGTGACACTGCTCATCATACTTTACAACACCATAAGGACTGTAGACCAAAGGCAGAAGGCTGATGGAATTCTTGGAAGCTTCAGGCCTGATGTTCAGCTCCTGACAGATCCTGCAGAGAGCAAATTCCTAAACGTCTCTGGCGCTTTCTTCCCTTTGCCCTCTCTCTGCACGGACTGTGCCGGCCAAAGCACGGAGACAGACATTTTTATTGGGATTTTTGCAACATTAGCCTCACTCATCATCTCCATTTGCAGCAAATAAACGAGTCTCAGGAGTAAGAGAATCATTCAAATACTCCAAACACGAATCTGAGAAAGACAGTAAGAAAAATATTGGAGTGGGCCGTCACTCAGCCTCTTTATTGCTCGCTGGCTTCTCTCAACAAATGATAAACCCCACCAAATGCACACACACACACACACACACACACACACACCAGTGGCGAATGGTACCAATTACACTCAGATGTCGACATGTTCTCTTTTTCTCCAGTTTTCTGGTTGAACGTATGCGTGTGTCAGCGCTCTCCTGGTGGTACGCATCTGTAACGGAGGGTGACGCTGCAACCCAATCCCTGCGCTGGTCTCATACCATCAATAATAGGCTATATACACAAGCTTGCTCTTAATAAGCTGTCATGCGGAACTAATTTGGTGTCTATTTGTCCAGTCTGGGAAGCTTGGAGGATAGAGTTTCCTATCCTGAGCATTCTCAGCCCTGAGCGAGAATCAAACCTCCACTTTTACCTTGGACAGCTCGGCCACCGCTGCTCATCTTCATCTGCCCAGACCAGAGGTCGGCAACCCAAATGTTAAGAAGAGCCATTTGTCCTTTCAACAAAAATCACCTTGGAAGCCACAACAGTTAATGTCCATTTTACCATCTTGGCTGTAAATATGTCTCAGTATGTGCTGATGTACCAGTATAGACTAAAAAAATATAATATAAACACAAACACAGACTTACTTTGCTCTGCTTTAAGCTTAAGCTCAGCTATAAATGCTTTTCTCGCATCTCCGGCAGGAAACTGAACAACCAGTAGAGCTTTATTTTACTGTAAAGGAGGATTATTTTATTTTTACAAATCTGATTTTGCTGTGGAGCCACAACAGGGCAGTAACAGAGCAGACATTCACTCTCTTCTACACACAACACAGAGGAGGTCACTGTTCAAAGGTTCTGTTTACTCCTTGACTCCGCCTCCCTTTTAGGCTAAAAAGTTCTAGATGCTTAAAGTATTTAAGATTAGTTGATGAATGAATTGCAATTAACAACTGTTGCCAAAGTGATGAAAGAAGAGATTAATAATAATAATAATAATAATAATAATAATAATAACAATAATAATAATAATAAAAAGAATAAAAATATTAATTAATATTAACTCTCTCTCTCTCTGTTTCTCTCTCTATCTCTGTTTATATCTTTCTCTCACTCTCTCTCTCGCTCTCTGTCTGTCTCTCTCTCTCTCTGTTTATATCTTTCTCTCTCTCTTTCTCTCTCTGTCCCTCACCATGTCTGTCTCTCCCTCTCTCTGTCTGTCTCTGTCTCTCTCTCTGTCTGTCTCTCTCTCTCTCACTCTCTCTTTCTCTCTGTCTCTCTTTCTCCCTCTCTGTCTCTCTCTTTCTCGCTCTCTGTGTCTCACTCTCTCTGCTTCTATCTCTCTCTCTCTCACTCTGCTTCTCTCTCTCTGTCTCCTTGTCTGTCTCTCTCTCTTTCTCCGTCTCTCTCTCTCTCCCCCCTATATGAGGCGTTGCCGTGGTGGATCATGCGTGCTCGTCACTCGGCTCCTGCGTCGGCCTGCGCTGTCTGATGGAGGGGGGCCGGAGTCCAAAGCAAATATTTTGAAAAGGAAAGGGATTCTGGCGCAGCGCGGACGGACCGCTCATGTTATTTGCACTTAAAAAAAAAGTTTTTTAAAAATTCTCCCGAGAGGACGGAAAAAAGTCTTAATCAAGTTAAAAGGACTGCCTCAGAGCTGAAAACGAGACCTCTCTCTCTCTCTCTCTCTCAATCACTCTCTCTTAATGCACACTCATTCACACACCCTGACTCACTCTTACACACTTACTTACATTTAGACCATCTCGCTCTGCATCCCTGCAGACAGAGCAGAGCTCGTTATCTCATTATCATTAATAACATCAGTAATAAAACAAAGAAACATGACAGTTCTACAACCACAGACATCTGAAGCTATTAACAATACAAAGTTTAGGCATCCCTTGTGTTATTACATGTTGTATGGACAGCAGGCGTGTCAAACTGGGGACGTTTTGGGTCAAAGTGCTGCAGAGATTAGCGTTTACCCTCATCTAACGCTCCGAATTCAGTTCATGAAGGCCTTGTTAATTAGCTGATGAGCTGATTCAGGAGTGTTTAATGAGGCTGCGTGCTAAAGTCTGCAGTGTTTTGGCTCGCAAGGACTGGACCCGACACGCGTGCTCTACAGGGAACATAAATACGGCAATTTTCTGCACATTTGCTGAGTTTAACATATTAAAGGAAAAATAAAAAAAAAAACTGACAACAGTTTGTGTTATATTTGCTTACTTTTTCTGTTGCTTAACTTTTGGTGCCTTTTTACCAAGCAATGCCCTATTTTTTTGTCAGCACTTCTAAAAATTTGTAGCTGTTTTTTGAGAATTTTTGTTTTCTGTTTCTTTGTTTTCCTTTCTTTTGGCAACCAAGCAGAGCTTCGCTTGGCATGGATCTTTAATATGTACGACCTCAGTTACATATACATTGTGATTGGCTCTTGTCTAGGACACTGGAGAAAATATCACAGTATTAAAAAAGACACCGGTGCACCAAGGTGACTTTATGAATAGCTCTTACTTTGCGTGCCGTAGTGCTGTTAACAATGAATCTGGCCCTAAATGCTTTATTTTCTGTTAAATATGTTAAATTCAGCAAATGAACAGTAGCTGTGCCTTTAAACGTGCAGAAGTGTGATCTCTGTAGAAGATGTGTTCACTTATTTTCACTTAGAAAATCAATAAAACGTATCATTTGACCAGGGACAAAACACACCCCGCAACTGATTTCACTCGCGAGCCGTAAAAACAAAACTATCACAGAAACGTTCTGCTTTACCAGCCGCACCACTTCTGGTTTTAAACTAGTGTTAGTGGAAGCAGCGCATTCAAAACACAGAGCAAAGAGCATTCAACTGCAAGCATTTCAGTGCAGAACATTAAAGAGGCTGTTAGCCAAATCATCAATCAAATTTGATCATAAACCAAAAAGTAGAGCCAAAAAACAAAACAGATCAGTCCAGAATGTCACATCATGCACA